TGAAACTGAAAAACAATTCATTACAATCTGGAAAAGTTTCAAACATCTTGTCTTTTCAGTTTCAAATATTTTTTCAGTTTCAAATATTTTTTTCAGTTTTAATTTTTTTTTTATTTTGAACAAACCTTATGACCCCAGTTGATCTCCGTAGCTCTCAGTGTGAAGTTAAAACCTTCCCGGCTGATTTACTGTGGCTCGTCTCATTTTCACCCCTCCCTCTTCTCTCCATCACTTCATGCGGTGCACAAGTCCATTTCTAAATTTGTCTAAACGACACCCAGAGACTCTCCACCTCTTACCCATTCAAGAATTCATGAAATTTTAAAGAAAATTGAAACTAAATCCTAAAAATGGACACTGAACGATGATCACTGTCAAATAATGAGAATGAACAATGAGGTCGTTTTGAAAACAACATTCTGGTCAGGACTTCCTACAGCCTGATGTTTGACACGTGTCACAGAAACAGACTGTGTTTCTCTCCGTTCTGTAAATGAAATAAAAAGCCGTCTCACCTCTGGTAGGAAACAATGCAACATTTCTCCACAGTAATGATGAAAGTACTAGTGAAATCAGAGCGTATTGGTTGATCCTCTGTCACTTGTCCCACCTCCCAAACACTTTGCATCTTTGCAGCAAAGATGTCAAACTGATTTGTTGATATTTTATACAGGAGCTAAATGATGATTGAGAGATGCTTGTTATGAGCACAAAAAGATCAAACTCCTGTATAACATATCAGCTTCAGGTTTGAACAAATACAAGGCTAACTTTAATCCTGTTTCCTGTGGAAACAAGGGATTAAATCATCAGCCTTCTGCTTTCACTCTTCCATCAGACACTGCCACGGAGAGCAGGAACGAAACAAAGCAGTTTACACAAAAACACACACAGCTGAGCTACAACATCATGTGTGTGTTAAGTTTCTGCACAGGATCTGGACAAACTTATCATCCTGCATGACGACAGAAGAAATCCAACAGGTCGTTTAAAAATAACAACTTCCAGAACAAGTCAGYGCCCCAAATTATAAACCTGTCAGTTTAAGGGAAGTTTTAACTCCAAAGAAAGGATTTTATCAGGATTTGGGCATCATGACATCATTCCAACATGTGAGCCATCACATCGAAATGACCTAATTACATTTTCAGATTCTTGTCTTTAAAAGCTACATTTTGATACCTGGATCATCCTGATATCATAATTAAATCCATATATATGACTTAATTTGTCTTCTTGGTTACAATAATACATAAATAT